TTTTATAATTACATTACGCATTTTTCTATGTTACAAAAATAATAAATTGATTAATTAATTAATTAATTAATAATTGAGGCATGGAGATTATATAATTAATTTGGCCTTAGCTAACTCTTGATTCCCTTATCCTTTTCATGATGTTGGAAGGGGGGGTGGGGAATAGATCGAGAACCAACCACCTTCCACTAAATCTCTTTTGCTAGAGGAAACTGGTTTCTTAATCCTGTCTTTATGGAGCAACAAGGATGCTCGAATCTGCTTTACTAAAAGCAGAAAACAAACTCCCCTTAAAACAAGCCCCTGATGGGGAAAATCAAATAATTAAGTGGCTAGGAAAAAGACTAGTTACAATAAAAAGAGATGCTACTATAAAGCCTTTTCAACCTTTTTAGCCATAATAACCATATTGTTAAATTCGAACAAGGTTAAAGTTAAATACTACATGACAATTTTGGAGTTTCCTTTTTACCCTCGTGTTTAGCTGCTTCTTCATTTTGTGTAGAGTTCTTATTTATCATTGCGTTTGGTTTTAAAAAACTGTTTCTTGAACGTAAAATTAATGTTAAACAAATTATGAATTAGTGTTAAAAGTGAGTCAATCGTAAAAATTAATTAGGAGATGCATTTAAGATTTGTAATTTGTGGGTTGAAAATAAAATTATCAAATAATCATTCAATTATTTATTTTTGACAAAACCAATCTATTTGTTTATTTCTAGCATCAATTTTTTAGATACTTTAATTTTTACAGCAAATTTTCATCACATTAATACAAAACATTCAAAGAAATCTTAAATAACAGTTTTCACAGCAATTTTTTACTACACCTTTTAAAGAATTATTTTTCAAATTGAATTTTTTCTAATCACAACAATAATGCTAAATTAGACTATAATTAATTGGATAAGAAATTAAATTGTTTTTATTTTATTTTATTTTTATACAAATCTAGCGGTGTTTGGTACTCAGCCAACATAATAAAAAGGCAAAGGAAACCCATTGACTTATTGAGTACTTGATCATATCATGTGAGTTCTAATTTCTAAAGACATGTCTCTTCCTATGAAAATATAGACAGGTACGTAGCTCCAAATGACTTGACACTTTATTATTTGGACTAATTGAAATTTCCAAATCACGTTTACAAAACAAGATCACTCAATTCCCTAGGAAATTAATAACATGAGAAATCATATAAATAACTTTATTGTATGTTATGTTCTATGCAAACCATATAAAGATTCTTTGGAGATTATCAACTTTGTTTTCTTCTACTAACAGATAGGTCTAGATAAAGGAAATCAAGGTTGACAAGTTAATGATTTTCATTGTTAGTTTCAACAAATTATATATCATTGAAACATAAAAAAGTTGTTTTTGGAACCTTTCAAATTTTTGTTGAAACTAGTATAGTTTTTATCAACTTAAAGCCTTCATTAAAAGATGTGACAATCTTAGTCCAGTAAATTTAAACTTGGGTTAAGTTTAAGGTTCGACAATTTTTTCGTTAAATCACTTTACATGTATCAAATGAAAATATTTTAGCTCTAGAATTCCTTCTTACAGCACTTTTAATCGCAGTAAAAGTTTTCTTTCAAGGGCAAGAGTTAGGTAGAGATTAGAAGTAAAGGTCATCAAATTTTTTATTGGATTAAGTTATAAATAATTTCTAAAATATAATTAAATATTTAATGTGGTATATGAATTTTAAAAATTTTTATATGATACTTAAATTATAAATTTATTAATTAATATATTACTTATTTTTAATATGATTGGTTTCAAATAATGACATATAATAAACAAACAACCCTCTAAGTACTATATTAGTTAATAGATTTATAATTTAAATATCACATTAGATATTTTAAAATTCAAATACCATATTGAACGTTTCACTATAATTTAAAAGTCATTTGTGATATTAACCTTTCTTTGTTAAATGTGATTAAATAAAAATTAAAATAAAAAATTTAAAGCTATAAATTGAAATATCTTATTATGTAAGTTAAATGTAAAAAGTGTTTAATAAATTTTTTATAATATTTTAAATAGATATTTTTATTAAAAAATTTGATGAACCGTTAAATAACTATCAATTAAATTTTGATTTAAAATGATATTTTTAATATTTTAAATAATATTTATTTTTTCATTAAATTCTATCAATTAATAAAATTTAATTTTCAAAATAAACTTTCATAAAATCTTTTTTAAAAGAGAATTTTGCAAACTTAAACTAAACAATATTGGAATGAAGCTAGCTAACTATACATGGTTAAGAGGTCCCCCAACTTTGTTTCCATGTTTAATTTGCTTTGTCAAATTGAATTTATATCACTTACAATTATTATAATATAATTAACTAATTATAATTTAAAATTGTGACGAATCTATCAATTTTATATGAAATCCACATTTATAAGTGATGACCTTTACATAATTTTTTATTATGACTAGATAATTGGAAGATTATAATAACAAGAATTTAGGTGAAATGCTTCCAATCAAATTATACTCATAAAAAGAATCGCTTCTAAAACTAAATTGGAGGTAGAAATGTCAATCTTACTCGTATTAGTAGCCATTTAGATCACACCACACATCTAGTGCAGTGTGATTAAGTTCACTGCACCTCCAGTTGAATCTAAACACTAACTCTAATGAGGTCAAGTCAGCATAAATTTTTCATTAAATTTTTTTTCAATCGCAACTACAATAATTTATTTTTCAATTGCAGCTACGATAAATTTTATTACTATTTTCAATCTCACTGTGACTAATCTCACAACCCATCCAAATGAAAACCATAGATGAGAAACCCAATTTTTTATCCAAATGAAGATAATGATTGAAATAAGAATGCATATAATTTTTAATTTTTTATAGGGTACAAGAATGGATAATATAATATTGACCTCTTACTTATACTCTATATATTTAATAAAAAAAATTATTAAATAATATAAGATTTTATTTTAAATTAATTAGAACTAATATATTTCTATTTAAAAATATATTAATATGTATTTATAAAAAATACATAAATATGAAAAATTAAAATTAAAAAAAACCAAAAAATAAATTTTTATTTTTATTTTTTAAAAGAAACTACAGATATGAGAATTATTTGTACCTATTAAATATCAGTTGCTATGAGAATAATATAAAATACATGTTAGATATGAATATCAAGATAAATATAATATAAAAATTTTAAAATAAAAATAAAAAATATTTTATCCTTCTTGAACCTTACCTTTAACGCATGGAGCTCTCCCTCTATCTCTCCAAACCATGAAAACCCAGCGAAAAAAACCATAGCGCAGAGTGGGGGGGGGAGTTATTTTTGTAACGCAAGAGCTCAGCAGAGTTCACATGCTGGCCAAGCAAGGAGTGTTGGGTTGGGACCCCTATTCAGAAACTGAAAACAACCCTCGTGTGTGGGTTAGTGCTGTAAATCTTGTCTTAGCTAATATCATTAATTATCATTCCCGATCGAAAAGATTAGTGGAGAGGTGAGGTGATTATATTCTACCTAACTAGCTAGTATTATAAAAGTATCCCTACCTTCTGAGAATATGAAATTTCGTAAAGCCCAAAAACCAAATGGGAAGCCACAAAGCAACAAATCGGGGACCATTTTTAATATAAGTGAATAGTGGGATTGTCTCATGCAAGCAAGTAAAGAGAGGTGTACATGCTCCAATCCTCCACCAAACTTACCTACCAACAGATCAGAAGCAAAGAAAATTCAGAGGATCCGAGCATGCTATAAATGAAAACTAAAAAAAGTGAAATCATGATTGAGGGAAAAAGTTAGTTTTTTCTTCTCCTTACTTTTTACTGGTTGATGCTGAGAAGGGGTTTTTTTTTTAGCTTTGACAGTGTAGGATATATATCCTTCTAACAGTATGAGGATTTGATTCCTTTTCCACGTCTGTTCTTCTGTTTGCATCCACATCTACAACGTTTAGAAAGGGATAGGAAGGGCTTGTTTAAAAGGGAAATTTTTATTTAATGCAGGACAGCGGGAGTACTGTGCCCCACTTTCGCAGTTGGATCCCATGGCTTTGTTTCCCTCTTTGGTTGTATCAACTTATCTTACAATTGTTCTGAGTTGTCATGGTAGCTCACTCACCTCTACGTCAATTCCTGAATTGGTTGATCGAAGTTTTAGCACAAATATACAAAGTACAAATGTTGAACATCTAGTATTTTACCACTCGCTAATGCAAATAGTATAAAATTTTCTTGCACCGCCCAAGATAAAGATTTTCGCAAGGCTTTTTTCAATTCACAAATTGTTATTAGCCATTTAGGAAAAGATCTGGGTGGTCCATTGGGAATATATATGGACCTCGCTTCATAACTAATGAATGTAGGGTCGTGATAACACTTTTTTAACTTCTTACGGACTCCTTCATAAACCAATAAAACCACCAATCCCTGGTGTTTTTGAGGACCGCTTGGTAACTCTCATTATTTACCCTTCACATTTGGAACATTTAGACGGCAAATTGGCCAATTCAAAGCTTTCATAATAAACTTCAAATTTAATTCAATTGATTAATATAATTATTCTTAAAAGATAATATCTAATTAATTTTAATTTTACATTGGAGCATTTACAGTTTTTTTTTTTTTTTCATTTTTGAATTAAGACTTCCTTTATATATAGAAAAAATCTCATCTAGTTTTTTTAATGATATCATATACAATGTGAATGAGATATTTTTGCAATATTAATTAATATAGTAATAATTTTTCTGGTTAATTTTTGCAAATAAATTCTTCAACAAATTGCGACTAATTTAATTTTTTAGAATAAATTAAACGATTAAAATTGGAAAACTAACATTACTACATTAATGTTGAACTTAAATTTTTTTGCCTTTAAATATAAATGCACCAAACTAATAGTAACCAAGGAAGTGCTGTGAGTCTGTGACATTCTCCGTTGAAAAAGTTGTGAGAATTAAAGGTTTAAATGCACAAAAACTGAAATTTTGACTTGAAAACACAATAATACGTACTTAGAAGCAAATAGCTGCTCATGATATTCTTTGATTTTGTTATTGCTCCACCCACCAAAGGTAATCATAAAAGAGATATACTTAATGTTGCTAATAATAGTGACGTGTCATTTAATTAATCATTAACTTAACACTACTAATTAAGCTGCGTTAATTCAGCCACAACGGATATATTTTACTAATTAGCAGCTATTTTTACTACAAAATATGGGCAGTTAAAAGTAAAACTTGAGGGTGGTTACAACTTACAAACGGTTAAAAATAGAAAAACAAAGGAAAGGATAAAAAGTAATTAACGGCCGTTGGTAAGGGGGCTAACGGCTGATTCCTTGCACGGACTTGGAGGAATGCTGGTTTTGCCGGACGCAACGAGGCGTTGCACAAAGCACTCGATTCTCTGTCCGTTTGTCTCCGTCAGTAACCGCTTCCCGCCAAACGGTAACGACTCTACTCCTCTATCCTTCAATACCTCCTCCATTCTCGGCCCCACCATCCTTTCACTCCCCAGTCCGTTCGCCTGCACGATCGAATGTCGATAACAAAATTATATAAATCCAAAAGACAATTACAATAGTAAAATTCTGTTTGGCTATTGAGAGAATCGAGGAAAATTATATATAAAAAATTACTTTAAGCCAGTCAAACTGACTTAACCACAGATTAAATTTTTCGATAGGAGTAAAGGAAAAATAATGACATCCATACCTGAATTCTAACGTAGTTTGACCGGTTCCAACAGAAAGCGTTCCCCAACATCTGGTCTACTGTCTCCGATACTCCGTCGAGCACAATGTCAACAACAGAAGAAGTTGAGCATTCGCTGTTATTACGAACCTTTGACCTTCCACACAACGGACCGTTGCCTAACGAAAAAACCAGCAGATCCTCCATGCCATTAACCGATGGGAAATCTCTCTTGTTATGAAGCACGTGCGTGACAGCCGCAGCAGTAGGGTTGTTCATGACCAAACCTCCGTCCAGGGCGGAGCATGAGGTCTTGCCGTCGATAGACGTCAGTGGGAAAGGTTTGAAGAGGCTGGGAGTGGCTGACGTGGCGCGGCATACTTTCCAAAGCTCGAAGTTGAAGCTAGGTGATTCGGAAGCGTCGGCGCGAGAGAAAACAAAGGGAGCGGAACTCTTGAGGTCAAAGCAGGGAACCAGGAGAGGTTTGCACGTGTCCTTGAGTGTCAAAACCGTTCCGTCTTCTCTCTTAAACATTTCCTTCAGCACTTTATCCATGCTCTTACCGGAGAATCTCTTCCGACGGTGAAGAACTCCGGCGAGCTTATTAACTTTGAAGAGCTCGGAGTTATTTTGAGTGATAAACTTGATGGCTTCCCTAGCAGTGAAAAGAGGATGCCCGGTTCCATCGTCGGCAGAGAGCATGGCAGCAAGAACAGCACCAATGCCAGTGCCGGCAACCATGTCGAAAAAATCGGCAATTTGAGCATGTGGATCACCAGTTTTGAGACGGATCTGGTCTTCAAGGTGGATAAGAGCGGCACCAGCTACAATGCCGGTGTTTCCACCACCGTCAATGCTGAGGATTCGAATCTTCTTGGCAGTTTCACAGTGCGATAACCATTTCTGTTCCAGTTTCGTGAAGATCTCTAAAGTTACTTTACTCAGCTCCATTTTAGGCACCTCCTCTGTTCGCGCCAAATAACAAATTAAAGCAAAAGCTTCGGAGTTTTTTTTTTTTTTCTTTTAGTTCGATTGATAATGCTTGCTTGTTTGCTGGCGCCAGACAAGTCCGTGCAAAAAGCAAAGAGAGAGCCTGGCGCTGTTCACGCTTTGTTGCTGATAAGCATTAATGGTTCCGATAAGCAAAAATATGATGTTTGCACGCTGTTTCTTTCTTTCTCTCTGACTCCAAATCTCTGTGGTCTGAAGAGTGAAAGTTGAGAGAGTTATGGTTTTTTTTTCTGTTTTCTCTGTGGGCTACTGGACTCTTAGTCGTGAGAGAGAGAAGAGAAAGTTAAAACCGGTAGTGAGCGAGCGAGTGAGAAGAGGAATAGGGATAGGGTGGCTGGCCCTTTGATGGAGGTTGTCTTATATATGCTTCTCCAGTTTTTCTTTGTCATTTTTTTTTTTTTTAATTTTTGTGTTTTACTGAGAATTTACTCTCCTTGGTAGTGAGATTCTTACGTGTTTCGACTGTCCTTGCACGCGTTCTTATCTGTTTATGGGAAGCGCCAACTTCGGCTTTTTACTCGGCTCGGCTCCCGCTTTTCCTTCTTTAATATTTTGAGGGGACTTGCTCGGTTCTTGCGTTCGCCCATTTTTATTTCTAATTTTAAAAAAAGATATATGGTTTTTTTTAATTAAATTCATAAGTTTCTTTAATGAAATAATAAGTATAAAAAAATTATAATTATAATTAAATATTATATTTATATATAATATATCACTAAATACTTAATTCATAAATTAATATATATTTAAACAATCAAATCCACTTACAATAAAATTTGAATTAAAACCCTTTTTTTCCCCCAAAAACTTAAAATTTTATTCATACTAAACTTCTTTTTCTATAATTTGCTTCCTCATTGATTAATTAAATTCTAAGACGAAATATTGGGGTGAATGGCTTGCAAGAATATGGTAACCGGCCGCAATTCAGTTTCCCAAAGACAGGTTTAAGGAGGCACAAAGTAATCTCGTCATTGTTGATTGAATCCAGTATAGAAGTTGAGATGTGGCATCAAACAAATCATAATTCCCTAAAATAAGTAAATCCCATACTATTTTTTATGCCAAAATAAGCAAATACACTAAATTATTGCCTTAATAATTGAATTAAAACAAACAAACAAACAAAAAAATTAAAGGGTAAAAAGATGAAAAATAAAAAATGTCAAGCCTCTTGAGAAATTTGCTTCCTCCCTTCACAATGTTAGAGATCTCTCCAAGTTAAGATGCCTACCATACAGATCCTGTCCAGTCAAAGGGTATCTAAGAAAATTTTATGGCTATAGTTGTTGTATAAATGAAAAGGAGAGATATTTGGTTAATACATTCATGTCGAATATGAAGATCAGTTTTCTCACCCAACAAAATTGTCAGAAAAAAAAAATTGCAAATTTACTCATCTGATTCATTTCTCTGTCCATTGTTAATTTTTACGGTTTGGAAAACACAAATAAGTTTCCCACCAGAGGTGACAGTTGAAATTTATTAAACTCTTTTGACACATTACACTGATTTCGTTACAGCTCCAAACACTTCACTCATCGTTTTTTTACGCTGTTTTTGATGCATATATGAATTTATTAGGGTTTCTATCTTCCCTTCTTTAAGTTTCAGATTTGAAACACTGAAACTGCATGTTATATTTTACTTGTTGGGCACATTTATTTTCTTCACATCTATAAGGGTTATGTTTTAATCGCAGTAACATATAAATAGCAATTGAACAAAATATGATAATATTTGGCATATATGGGACATGCATATCTACTTGCGCATAGGGAAGACATGACATTTCCCTTGCACAATTTGCAGTAAATGTGAACCATTATTCTTGCATTTATGAATGAAGCTCGGCGACTAGCAGCATTATGTGCAAGTTCTAAGATATGCAACAAGGGACCGGCGGCCATCCCCACTCCCAAATCAAACTCGATCAAATCTTGTCCGTGCTTTGTACTGAATCACAAAAGGCAGAGAAATCTGCAATGATTTTGTTGGCAACTTGGGCCTATGCCCCTTCCACAGGCAAAAGAGGGTAAACAAAAATGTCCCTCTACATGACTATGCCCTTCATTCCTTGGACAGTTTCAATGGCATGGCTTCTTCCTTTACATGGGGAGTAAAATCTTTTGATAGAATTAATTTCCTATCAATTTATGATTCTATGCATAAATAATCTCTTTTTCTTAATATTAGGCACACCTCCGATTCAACTTAAGGGCTACAAAAGAAAAAAACTTCAACTATGAATCTATAATGCATCATCTCCACAAGCCTACTATTTATTTGAGTATTGCAACCCATGTTCATGGCATTTATGTTAGTAGATCAGAGGTTGACCACGTCTATCAACTCTATGTGCTCAAATATCGATATTAAAAAAGTTTGACTTGGATACAATGAGTATATGATAATATACAGAAGCAAAACATCCAAGTGGGCGATGTATTGAGTCAACCTATAGTGTAAGCTTGAAGGAGCACTAAGACAACCTAGATGGCAATGTTGAGTGCCATGGCATGGCCTAAAAGCACACTAGATATGTGAGATTGCCTGCCCAAAAAGAGGTTTTGATAAGATTTACTTACATGGGGGAGTCGAGGTGGGAGTTGATGAGAACTCACAAGTGAACAGAAAAGCTATGCCTTGGCCCAAAAACGCACTAGAGATGTGAGGTTGCCAGGCCCAAAAAGAGATGTTGATAGGATTTACTTGCACAAGAGAGTCAAGATGGGACTTGATGAGAACTCATAAGTGAATGGAAGAGATTATTGGGATAAGATTTATATGTGAGCTAAGAATCAAATATCAATTTAATAGCAGAATAACGATCACAAAATTACGGTAGCGCCACCACATGCCAACGTTATTGGAGGAAATATGATTGAAAAATTCATCATAATCAAAATGGTGTGTAGTTGCAGCAAAAAAAAAATGGCATAACGAAAAATAATGGTAATAATGGACCGATATTGCTACTATTCTCATTTTTTTACTCACGAATCACCAGTTCATGTTATAAGAAAAAAATAAAATTTCAACACTGTTAAAATAAAGCAACAAGCCTACAAAAGTAAAGTAAAAGTAAAAGTAAAAGCAAAAGAAAAAAAAACTCAAAACCTCAGTATCAAAATCAATCTAAAAACAAGTTAGAAAATAGATAAATTATTTATCAATCGTTCAGTTGGCATTTCGACAACAATCCTAGCTCAATCCAAAAATTATTCGAATTCAAATCAGCCTCAAGTTCTCAATCAACAATCAAGATCAAATAAGGTAAGAAGAGAAAGTTAAATTACCTTTTTTTATAAAATTTTTGTAAAATGATGTCTGTCTTTGTGAAAATTTGAAACAGATGAACGATGTACTCTGTAGGCACTAGGCAAGTGATACTAAGATAGTGATGAGGGGATGCGAAAGTGAGTAAGAGATGAAAAAAAAGAGAGAGAAGAATAAGATTCTTGAGGGCTAAACTCCATAAGCATGAAGAAGAAGAGCAAAAGAGAGCGAGCTGGGCCTACTAGGATTAGGCAAAATTTGGAGATATTTGGGGCATGTGGGTAGAGTGGGATAAAGTGAGGGGTGGGGGTGTAAGTGGGGATAGGGGTGGATGAATTTTTTTATTTAATTTTGTAATTAATTTTTAAAATTTTTTTAGATAAAATTTAATTAAAGGTATTGAAAATTTATAATTAAAAAAATTAAGAGATTAATAATTTAATATAATATATATAGATAATTTAAATGAAAATTTTTTATAAATTTTTTTATATAAGTTAAATAAAAAATAATTAAAATTAAATATTATATTTTAATTTTGTTATAATGAGTGTCACAAACTATTTTTAAAATAACTAAATAAGATTTTTTATAATTATAATTATAATTATAATTATTATATTTTATAATAAATTATGCAAAAAAAAATTCACGATTGTAATAATCGCAATGATTACAATGATCTCCGCTATATCAAAAATGCGATAAATGCGACGCGATAAAAAATGTTATTGCAACTGCTATTTAAATCTTTGTATGTAAGTAAAGAATCTCATATCATTAAAAAATTTAAATGAGAAGTCCTATATATACATAAAAAATCTAAGAACCTAATAGCTTAAGCTTTTGTGCTCAAGTGATGTCAACATATATGTATAAGCTTTTTAGTGTGCTCCCGTGAGCTTTAGGTGTGGCAAATCTCTCAACAAGTGGTATCAGAGCTATAGTTATTTTGAGACATCGATACAAAAGTAGCCTTAGACAAAATTTTATTTGAGATCATAGATAATGATACAGGTTCTATGATAATAATGACAACATCAAATTATTCAATTTGAAAGCCTATGATGAAATATTATTTATATTGTAAAGATTTGTATGGGTCAATATTAGATAATTTGGTTAAATCAGTACATATGAAAAATGAAAGTTGAAAGAAGTTAGGTAGAAAAATACTAGCTGTAATAAAAAAATAGGTTGATATTAGTGTGTTTCATCATGTAACGTAGGAGATAGATGCTCATACTATTTAAAAAAAAATTGACAACATTGTATGAGAGAAAAATAAGTATAAATAAAGTTATGCTTATTAAAAAGCTTACAACTTTACAATAAGGGATAGATGATCAATTATAGAGTACATGAATGATTTTCAAGTATTATTTAAAAAAAATGATAGCATTGTATGTGAGAAAAACAAGTATAAATAAAGTTATGCTTATTAAAAAGCTTACAACTTTACAGTAAAGGATGGACGATCGATTATAGAGTACTTGAATAATTTTTAAGATATATTTAATCGGATAACTACTATAGAGCTTAAAATGGATGATGAAATAAAGGTGGGTTCATTGTGAAATAGCTGAAATACTTTAATTGTGACTATTCTTAATTTTGCTTCTGATTATAAGATAATATTGAAGATGATAAAAGACAGTACACTTAATGAAGAAGTAAAGCAAAAAGACTTAGACTCTGCGAATCATGCTTTAATCACATAGAATAGAGATAGAAATATCGACAGAGGTCAAAACTCAAAATGTCGTAATAAGTTTATACATAGATCTAAGTTCAAAGATAAAGTAAAGTGTTTTCATTATGATAAAGCAAGTCATATAAAGTAATACTACAAAATCTTAAAATAAAAACGAAAAGATAAAAAAGATAAGAGTTTAAATTATAACAATGTTGCAACAGTGAATTTAGATAATGATTCAGTTACTTTGATTTGTACATATAATGATTGTAATCATATTGGTGATCTTGATATTGAGTGGATAGTTGACACAGGAGTGATATATTATTGTGTTCCTAAGAA